TTTTCTTAATATATTAGTTTAAGATCACGTACTATGCACGTTAAGAGTAATTTGTGCATTAAGTTCTAATTATCGTAATATTATTAAAAGCATATAACATCGGAATATAAAGTCCCAAAAAGAAACTTAAATTTGGAAAAAAAAATAAAGTTTTATGTTAAGTAGCCAAAAAAAGGACTAAAATAAAAATAAATAAATAAGTTTTAGGATAGAAAGAACCAAAACATTAAAAAAAAGTTTCAGGGAAAAAATTTAAAAGTGGTCAAAAAGGACTCAAATGAATCTATAAAAAAGTTTCAAAGAAAAAGAAACTAAAACGAAAAAATAAAGTTTTAGAGGAAAAATATAAAGAAGGGTAAAAACGGGACCAAAATGAGGAAATAAATAAGTTTTAGGGCAAAATGAACCATAATGAAAGAATTATAAAATTTCAAGACAAAAAAGATAAAAAAAAAAAATGATTAAAATGAAAGAATAAATAAGTTTTAGGGCATTATTGAAAAGAAACATCCTATGGGTAGTAACTTAGAACGCCGTGGTGCCGGAAATCTTTCTTTTGTCATTTGTAACCACGCCCAATCTCCAGGGTCAAAAATAAGCTTGTGACGTCCCTTGTTAGCTTGCTTGATGTATCAAATAAGTTTAAATAGATAAATCTAGATGTGTTCAAATTTAAATTTAAATAATCACATTATTTAAATAATAATTAATTCTCAATTAATTATTTTCGAGTGTTTAATTTTAGAATTTCGTAATTCTAAAATTCTCATTTTGCCCTTTGTGTCTGGTAGAATTACTTGGACGACGCGAGGACTAATGGACCTATAATCCCGAGCTCCAATAAAATTAATAATTGATTAAACACTTTAATTAATTAATTAATTCTATTAATTCCAATAGTTACTCCACTATAAACTTGGAATTGCACTTTCGAAATTATAGATATAAATTACTTCTAAACTATGAAGTGCCCATTTGATATAGTCACTGCATATAGATCGATCCTCCATAAATAATTCATAATTAGAGCTAGGTAAAATCCGTTAACCTCTCTAATTATATCTTTATCCTTGTGTACCATTGATTCTCTAATGGACAGTGATTCATAAAACACCTTCATGAATCGGAGCTCCTACAGGTTCAAGTACCGAATCAACCCTCAAGAGAATTATTTATCTACTTCTTTCTTAAGAAGGAATGGATTCCATCTCGTATAATAACATTCCCAGCTACCTACTTCATCATGTCTCTAAAATATAAGGAATAGGATTCAGGATCTCAGAATCTGTACCGAGTAAATCAAAAGACACAAACTCATAAATAGGAGTCTATTAAGAACTCAGGATTAAGATCATTCTATATATGACCATCGGTAGACTCAATTAGAATTTCTATACTTAACGGAAATTATTAGAAATTCATATTGTGTCTGTGTCCTTGTTCCACATAATCTCATTATGCGAAATACACTCATTCAATATCTCGCCATATTAACAGTGCGGATAACACCGTTCCATTCTAAATGGGAATGACATGTATTAATAATGTTTTAATTAAAGGTTCCAAACTTTAATTAAATTTATTATGAACATTGTTTTTTGATTATTATCCTTAAAAATTATCCTCTCGTATATAACACTTATATACAATGTTTAAGGTCACATAAATAATCATAGAATTTTCATTGATATTCATAAAATATTCATAAATATATGCACATAAAATAATGAATAAACTCTTTTATTAAATAAATAATAAATATCTTATTACATCTCATGCTTCTAGGATACCATTCCCAACACAAAACACTTATTTATAGACTCTTAATAAGTCATAAAATAACCCTTATCTAAAAACCTTAAATAATAACTTACACAAAAATACAAAATAATTATTCTCCCAAAATTAATTTGAGTCACTTACCTAATTTTGAAGTTATCTTAGTTGTGATGAATTTAATTAGGAATTTTGCATTAACATTACTGTATTTAAAATCGTGCTTTTGATTATATATATGCGTATGGTGAGATTTCAGATTCGTATTTGAAATCCGATATGGTTTTTTGTCTAACAAAAAACATTATAATCATATGTTTTTTGGAGTTTGAAAATTTTAAAGGCAAGATAACATCGTCTGTGGACATAATGAGACAACGCATGCACGTCGTTTGTCACCATATACAGTCAAGATTTCCAATTTGAATTCTAATTGAATATATTTGTAACTGGAATCAATTTCGAAGTCCGATCTCAAGGAGACTCTAGATTTAGAAGGATGTATCTAAGCACTTTTCAAGGCTTACACCATCTCCCATAAAATATTAATACTAATTGTATATTTGATAACTTTTAAATGAGATATCATATCATATTTTTTTATACTAAATATATAATTAGCATTAACATTTGCATTAGAGATTATGTAAGATATGCTATTTTCATTTGTGTTCTAATACATAACGTTATTTAAAATGCTAAATCTATCTTTTTTTTTAATCATTAAGCTTTAAAAGTTGTGAAGGTAAAACTTCTTAATTTTTAAATAATTTGAAGCAAAAGTTACATAATTAAATGAAAAAGTAAACATTTCAATTAATATAAATCAAATGCTATATTTGTCATGTATTACTTGATTAGAAATTTACCACCAAGTATAATATATGGTAAATTTCACACAATAAACAGCAATATATTGAAGAGTGTTTTTGATACTTAAATGTTAAATTTACAATTAGCACGTCAACCATAACATTATACAAGAGATGCTCTCAGCATATTTAAATAATCGGATATTGTGATTTGCATTTAAAAATCTTAGGCCTCATTTGCTTCGCGGATTCGAGTTTAGATGTGATATTTTTTAAGAGCTTTTAATTATAGCAGAAAAAGTTAAATGTGACATTTTTTAAGAACTTTTAACTGTAGAAGCCTTAAACTGAAAACTCAAATCGGTAAAATGAACGAGGCCTTATATTGGAAGAGAATGTGCAACCAAACTAGAGTAGGTTCTTGGGACTGATTCACTGAAGTCAGATTAACTATGATCAGAGGACATTGTGGACCAAATGCGAACTAGAAATCTTGAAGGGTGTGCGTCCAAGGGTGAGCTGAAGACTTGGAGCAGGACAATAGGTCTGAAAACAAGTCATGATTAGCGTTCGTCTTGCGGAAGTAGACGTCACGTGTTAGACTCGATAGAGGTTTTTTAGCAAACTCTATTATGTAACCAAGTAGTAATGAAATGAATCAAAATTACCATGTCTTTAAAATTTATTGATGGTGCTCTTGGGGGAAAAGGTAGGCTTTGATGCAGGAGGTTCAAGTGATGTGGTCATTCCTTTATTCCTTTATCATTTTTTTTTTTTTCCCATTCTGCGTAGTTTACATTTCATGTCGTTTTCATCTTTAGTGTCGTTTGGAGCTTTAGCCTTTGTAGTAGCTTCATATCTCAAAGATCCATTTGTAATAGCAACTTTTTCTTATTACAAGTCGTAGTTTTGCTAGTACGATCAGCATCATGACATTTTTTCCTTGTTGGGTTTTTACGACGTTAAATAACCATATGATATCTAAGAACAACCAGATCTTCGTGTTCTCAGTTCATGGTTATTTACATTTTTGCTTAAGAATTTGTTTATAGTAAGAACCTAATGATTCTGTTAACGGTTTATAGTAAGAAACTAAGAATTTTTCTGCTGCGTGTCTGACCCATTAGTCACTAATAATACCGTTGATCGGGTCTAACAGTTTCCCATCATTAGAATCAAGTTACGTCAACTTCTTCCCACAGCTTGAAAGCTCTGATCATATACTGTAGTTAATGAATTGAATGTAAATTCAGGTTTTTAATGCTCTATTATTTAACCAAGTAGTAACGAAATGAATCGAAATTACCATGTCTTTAATATTTATGGATGACGCTCT